CACGAACTTACTGCGTAAAATGATATCGATATTAAATGGTTAACATGTGACCGTACATCAGAAGATTTTACAATCTGTGTGAGCTGTTTCTAAGCTTGTCTCACCTGTGTCTCATTCCTGTCTTGTCCTTTGTGCCAACATCTGGTCCTTTTTGGGGCTGGCTTAAATTCTAACGAGCAGAACGAGAAGGAGGCACAGGGAGGAAAGTAGAGCCATTTCACAAGGGCTTCTCTGAGGTTGTTAAATGATGGGTCCTATGAAGGAGACTCTGTAGTGACCCAAAGGAAACCGAGCTTTTATGCGGGCAGTATTTTGTGCACAGAATCTTCTCTGAATGTTGCTTGAGAAGTGTCATTGCAGAACCGTAGTAAAGGTTGCAGAAAAAGCCTAAATAATTTGGTTTTTATTTGTGACCTTGAGAAAATAACTTTTTCGTTTCCTTGATACGAAATAAAATCGAGGGGGAAGACTCCCAAAACGCCAAACCAAGAACCCATGCAGTAAGATGGAGAGGCAGAGGAGGCAACTGGTCTGGGTCAGGCAATCCGCTGGTTGCGTTGACCTTCTGACTGGTAATTACGTCTTGCCGAGTAAGTAGGAATGAGCGCTTGCTGCGTGTAAACAATTGCATTAGGCGTCCGTTCTCTCCTCTTCCCTGGTAATCTCAGTGGTCTTCTGATACGGTTGGAAACGGTTCCTGGAGGCCTTTAAAATGCAATAGGTATGTTCATCTGGGTTTGCATTAGATATTTAATCACAGGATGTGTTGCTAGCTCTCGCATGTCATCTTAAAAGAGGCAAGCTGAGGGAAGAGATAATATATCTCCGTTTTCTCTCTTTTCTGTATGAGTATGAATATACATATATATATGGATACGTGGTGTGTAGATACTATAAGCGTATAGACGGTAAAGGCCACGTCTTCACGGACAAGCACGGGTAGACTAGTCATCTGAACGCGCTGGCTACTAATCAGAGTTTGGAAGACGTGTGCTTCTGATCGTTTGGTACCGCAGGCAAAGAGCGTGGTTCCTTGAAAGCCTGCCATAAAATAAAGCTCAACCGAGCTATATAACTGTTTGTATGATTTTCTAAAGGCTCTAATAATCCCTCTGCTTCTTCAAACTGTGTTCTGCATCAGGGCTTGGGCAAAATTTAATGATACAAACTCTGAGTCATGTATAGACTTGCCAATTTGCATTAATAGCTTGAAGAATCATTGAGAGCTGCTCATTTTCTCAAATTAGCAAGTAAATCAGTTAATGTAGTAGAAAGAATGGAGTACGAAATATACCCTATTTGTTTAGCGTTAATTTCTCATTATAACTTATATTATAGCGGTAAACATCTTGCAGTATACATTTGTAAGGATAATGAAATCTGAGTACTGTCCTCACTACAAATACTCTGATGAAATCATTGTTTGAAAATGAGTGTTATATATCATTACAAAATTAATTTCTGTTTTTCAGATGATGCACAGAATCTAAACATACAGATGTAACATAATTACACAGCCGGGCTTTCAGAAAAAAGCAAAATAAAGTACATTTCTCCTTTTCCAGGTCACATTTATATACCACAGTCAGTATTTTTACTTTAATTCTGGACTGTGTTTATATGGTATGGGATCATAAGCTGAAAGAAAATTTATTGAAATAAAGATTTCCCACTCCTGGCTCAATAAATCCTCTGTATCCCATTCCACATGCTAAAACAAGGAGGGGAGAGGTTGGTCTCCTTTGCAGTACGTCCACGGAGAGTCATTACCAGAATGTTATGGATTCAGTAGAAGACAAAAGTCTAGGGAAAACGTGTCTTCTTCAGTTTGCAGATATCTGGGATCTTGAGCTTTGGAGTATCTCTAGAAGCAGAACAGAGAAACCAAGTGTTGGCATATAGCTCTTTGAAACGAAAAGAAGAGAAAGCGGGGAAGGGGGTTTTAGATTAGCAAAGGTAAAGGAAACGAATGTTGTGGGCATTTCTATTTAACTGCAGGACTGGCTGAGGGAAAGGCAGAGGCTTGCTGTGTAGGATGCAGGCAGATCGTAGGAGCGATGCAGGATGGGAGGAGGCGTGTGGAAGTCCTGGGGTCCGGCGGATAAATGAGGACCTCCGGCAGGGCTGACAGGTAAACCCGCTGGGCAGAGCGGTAACGTTGGGAATCCCAAAATAGGAGTTGTCTGGGCAAGAGCCAGAAGTGTTGAGGTCAGGAACACTGCACTTAGAAGCTCTGAAACCAGTTCTTCAACTGAGAAAGCAGACTTCACTCTGACAGTGGAAAAAATCGGGCTTGACCTTGCCAGGGGAGGAGAAATTCAGGGGAAGCTTTCTTCGGTGTGTCTGGTGTAGGCAGTTTTGCATATGGACCTTGGCACGCTGTTTCAATTTCCAAAATAAGCCAGATTTTAAGAAAATACATAAAGTAGTTTTAAACTATAAATAAAACTCGAAGGAAAAAGAAAAAAAAGAAGACTATGAGACTATGATTTTATGTGCAAGAATTTCCTTACCCTGATTGCTGTAGTTTCAGGTATGATGATAGCCTTGATATAATAGGTACTCTTCTGGATCTCTGTGTGGAAAAGCATTTAGTACTTCTTGGTACTAAATGGTCATGATGTCATATATGTATTGTTTATGGTCTCCTAATCCAGGATTTATTGTCCTGATCCTGTTCCAGAACTAGGGGCTTGAGTTGATTAAAAAAAATAAGATTCTTCAAAGCTTTTAAGCAAATTGATTTACTCTGGCTTGAAAATTCTCGTTTTCCCCAAATTTGTATTAGTCGGCGTGATCCTCATACTCATCCATGTAATATTTGGTGCTAGAAGGATTTTACAAATGGCACGTATTGCCATTGAAAAAACTCCTGCATTAGACTTTAATGTTAGAATATGGAAAATTACTCTTAGTTATACTTCGGTTACCTGCGGTTTTCCCGGCGCTATTCTGCACAAGCGCAATCAAACCCAAGCCAATCTGTTCATCGTTCCTACTGCCAGCTCGGTCCCCACGCCTGGCAATCCCCTGCCCTTCTGCACCTCCCTAATTACACGCTGAGCAGCGTTCCCTCGTTTGACGCTGTGATGAGCTCTCTTATCTCCCCCCTGCGATGCGAGGAAGGCTTGTTTGCCTGGTTTGCTCTCCCAGTGCTTTAGCGGTGATTTGGGAGGAGGGAAGCTGCCTGTCAAAACGGAAAGCAGCCTGACCTTACTGTTAAGAGGCTTTTTTTGATGTCTATCTGAATTTTCTCTTTAGCAAACTATGCGCTTTTCTATTTGTTTTAGTCATCAGGAACATGCAGAACCGACCTCTACCCTCCTCTTTGGAGCCTGTTATCTTGTTTTCCTTTGGTTTTCCCTTTCCAGACAGAACATCACCAATCACTAGTCTTTGCTCAAAGAAAAATAGCTTCCCCAGGGAGATATATTTTTACGCCAGTGCGACGATTGTCTTTATCACAGCAGAATGAGGTCATGGACCGGTGGTCCTCTGGAAGACCGCTGTGACTTTCAGGTCCTTTTCTGCAGAATTCTCCTCTAACTCGTCATTCCCTGTTTGCCTGGTTTGTTTTTCCTACACTAGTGCAGAAACGTGTATTTGTCCTTACTAAATTACATTTCCAGCTCTCTTCTCTGGGGTAACAGGAACCTTTCAAATGGAGATCCTGTTGTGTGGTGTACTTGCAGACCGTCTTGTCGTAACTCTAGTACGAGCACTCTATTCCATTCTTCAAGTCATCGCTGAGCGTGTTGGATAACGCCCGCCAAAGACAGACCCCCGTGCAAAGCCACGCCAAATACGTCCCTCCTTTTTCTCATTGAACTGCTGTTAACTGTTCTCTGGGTGCCATTTTTTAATTATATGTCCCAAGATTGTTGATGGGAGTGCCGGAATATAATGCAAAGGAGTATTAAAACACTTGCTGCAACATATGTGACATATATCATATGACGTATGCAACTTAAATGACATTTATTGCCTGAGCAATCTTCTACGTTTGTAAATGCTGAGGGGGGGGTTGTAAAGACATCAGCTCTGCAATCAACTGTATTATCTAGCGACTGAAAAATGAGTTTTCATTTCATTAGGAAATTACTGGAATGTTTCCACAGCAAGTTTGCTAGAAAGAATAACGCTGGCTTCTCTGAAACAAGGTTCTTGGTTATCGCAGTATTCGCGTTAATTCTGGCCGCTTGTGTAAATGCCTGAGCTTACCATTCATTGTGACAGCACATGAGATTTAAAAAAAAAGGATTTTTAGCTAATTAATTAAAATTGTTTGCATTCAGGTATTTTAACGGGAAGAAAGGGCTTCTATTTCTAATGAATTTGCCTGTTGTTTGATTAACTTAGAAGAATTTTTTTAAATTGCTGTATTATCCAGAGCAGATTCTTTTAAGGATTCTAGGACATTTTAATGAATGTTTATAATTAAATGATAGATTAACTTACTGTATGGTCAGAACTGCAGTTGGTGCTTTGCAAGGTTGAGTTCCTTTATGTTTGATGATTTGGAATGTTTTATGTATTACAGAATTTTATGTAGTATGTTAAGCCTTTGTCATCTCCACTCAGCTTGTCGTGAGGTATGGACTTTAGGGTCTCCAGGGAATGATGTCTCTGGTTAAGTTAATGTAATAAATGGAGGAAACTCTTGCTTTCCTGTCAGCTTGCATAAAAGTTTATTGCCAGCTTTACAGTCCCTGAGCATTATCAGCACGGAATAGCTGTATTAATAATTAGCGTGTCTGTTGCTTCCCTAAAATATGTGTCAAAAGAAAGGGAGTGTGAAAGCACGTAGAGTTCTGTGGGTGTAAATGGAATTAAACGTTACCATATTAAGTTAAAAACCACAAAGTTGTTCTAGTTACATACTTAAAACATTTCAGTTAAAAAAGCATAAATGTATTTTTAGCCATATATTTATTTCAGGTTCATTATTGTTGGTATACTCCGTTTCCTCATTGCAATATTTTCTCGTGTGCTCTTCCTAGAATGGCTTTACTCCTTTATACATGGCAGCTCAAGAGAACCACATCGAAGTGGTGAAATATCTCCTGGAGAATGGAGCCAACCAAAGCACAGCTACCGAGGTGAGATATATTGTTCTTTTTATTTTTACACCCGCTCTTATTTTCCTTTGCCTTTATATTCAGATCGTTTAAAGTCAGAAGATTTTGCAAATGGAGCATTTTGAGAACCTTCACACTTTCATTTCAACGAGTTGCATTTATGAATCGTAGCTTTTTTTTTTTCCCCCCTATGTGTGCGGAAGACAAGGGTGAGCTGTTCTGGAAGTGGTGAAAAGTCAAGGGATGAAATCCAGCCTGATTGATTTGACAGCAAATTTTCCACTGACTTTAGCCAGCCCAGGATTTCCACCTTCAGTTTGTGCTTGTTTCTCCTATCCCCTTCCTGGAGGATTTTCTGAAAAATGAACGGGGCTTTGAAGGGAGGTCCCCAGGGCTGTGGAAATTACAGGAGGCCAAGGTGGTATTGTCAGGGGAATGGAGCACATAGTAGATCCATCGTAGGCTTAGTGGAGAGGTACAAGGCCAAGGTGGTATTGTCAGGGGAATGGAGCGCATAGTAGATCCATTGTAGGCTTAGTGGAGAGGTACGACGCTTCATTTGAACAGATTTACGTCTCCGACAAAGCCCATGAAAACTCGCGCACCTGGGGGTGCCATCACCTGGGAACAGGGCTATCTTTGTGCTGCTTTTTCATTTGCACTGTAAGATCTGGGCAAAAATCGGTGAATTATGACTATTATGGCACGTATCTCCCGCTCTTGGCTGCGTAAGGGGCCTTCTGGGGAAGGTGGTTTGGAGGCTTGCTTCACCTTCTTCCACAGCCAGCTGAATAGTGTGGAACTTAACACTAGCATAACTAGGAGTAGGAGGACTGTGTCCGGAGGGTGGGCGTGCGTAGTGTAAAATGGTATAAAAAACAATTTATATCAGCAGTTAGTTGTTGACGAGCTTCCTTTTAGATTGGGTGTTGAGATTTTATATGAGTTCAGAATGTTTTCTGCATGGAGAGGAGGAGTCAGAGACAGGCAAGCGCACGCACAAGAGTGATGAGTGGAGTAAGGTCTCGGTGGTGCTGAGTAAAGTCAGAGAGATGAGTCTACATCTCAAGAGGAACTGAATCGTAAGAACTTCCTTCTGCTGCAAATGAGAGGATTCGAGGGCCGTTGTGAAATCTCCGAGGTCCTGAGGACTCTGCTCATTCTGTTTCCGCCTCTAGTTCTCTTCATGCCACGCGTTCTTTCATCCCAAGCCAGGGGGGCGAGTGACCAGGCTCTGTGCTGCAAAATGCGTTGGCTTTGTGTTTGTTCTACGGATGGGCCAGGTGACGTAGTGATAGGCAAGTTCCTCTCCGGTCAGAGGTTTTGCTTGTGTTTATTGCTTTTCCCTAGTCTGTTTGGAAACGTCCCCATTCTGGATTGCCTTTGGAAACAGATGAGTTTGAAACGGTGGTGCATTTATGCTCGCTTTCCTTTAAAGCCAGCTGCTGGTGTTAACAGCTGCTTTACTGTCCCGTCTTTCAGTGGATACTGTACCATTTGATGACAGCTCCTAAAATAATCCCCTCGTGGCCCGCACGTATGGCGATCGCGTTACGCGTCAGCTTTCCGAAATATGAAATCCCGTGGGATTGCCAGGCAACGTGGCAGAAACACAGTCGGTGCGAAGGAGCGGTGCCTCTCCAGGAGCCCGCCCCGGCCGCAGCCCCCAGGCACCTGCTCGCAGCCTTTTCCCAGCAGCGTTTACTGGCCGCGTGCTGGAAATTCATTCGTTAGTTTGCAGGAACCTTGAGGCCGAGATAGTTATAATTAATGTGGCCCTCTGCTTGAATGCAGACATCCAGGCGGTGCTGGAATTCACAGGGTAGTCTGTTGTTTGTTTTTTTAAAAAAAAAAGGCAGAGGGGAGAAAAAAAAAAATCAAACACCCCTGAACCTGAGTCCAAGTCTGTCTTCTGCCATCAGAGAGGTCAGTTCTCACTTTTGTAAATAAAGGCTGTTTACCCCCTTATCGCGTAACTAGGTAAGTTTTGGGTTCAGGTCTTGCTGGGGCGATGGTTTCGGCGATTTCCAGCGTTACTGAAGGAGCCACCGCCCGCTCTCCCACCAGAGATAGTCCCATGAATGGAACAAAGCAACAGTCCATTAAATAAGGTGGGACAGCAGCCTGAACTGAGGCTGCTGCTGAAATACATGGAGAAGGACCTTCTGTTGGGCATGGAAGACGGGCTGTCCTCGTGCGGGGAAGTGGGGATGTGCAATGCCTTCTGCGAGCTGTGCTCAGCCATGTGCTTTCCAGAAGCAGTAGGAGAGGGAATGCAGAAAGAGTTGTGTCCTTTTCGAGAAGGATGGAAGGCAAAGTGGTGCAAATCAAATGGATGATCTTGGCTTTGAAACTTGCACTGCCGCTGGGTGTATTTCGTTTTCTCTTACGCTTATATACGTATATATATAAAATGAGAGTAAGGATGAGCTCAGTTTCCCGGGGCCTCTAATCTGGGATTTGTTCTCATGTTCCCAGAGGCGAAAGGCAAATGCATTAAGCCATTTCAACACCTAATGTACCCCCAATCTCAGAATTATCTTTACAGTTCAGCTGTTTCGTCAGCTGTTCACCCTTTCTTAATTCACTGTACAGAATTTAATCTCTATTACGGAAGCAAACCGTGGTAGTATCGCTGTTACAACACACCTACCCGCAGTTCTACGCAAAAGGGAATGAATGTTATTAGATTACTAAGGGGGAAAATTGCTTTGGCAATTCTTCAAATGTTTGTTTCAAGATATGTTAGCTCTCATTCCTTCCTAACTTGTCCTTTATTACTTTATCATCTTTCCATATTCCTATTCCAAATCGACCCCATCTCGTTCCGATGCATTTTACAATGCATCTAAATCGGTTTTCTCACTTTCTGGCTGTAATCCCCTCTTTACTTGTTCCTTCCAACCTAGACAAAGACGACCTTGGTTTACTCCCTTCCCTTTTCTTTTCTTTTGTTGCTTTTCACCATGCCTCCAGTCCCAGGCTGGGTTGCAGAGCTGCTCTGTTCCTCGTGGTTCAGCTGCCCTCCGGTCTAGCGTGGGGTTACAACTGCACATATGTGCTTGGGCAGCGTGCGAGAATGCACCTAGTTTTATAGTCAGAATAAAAGATATGGGAGCAGGCAGCACTTCAGCTGAGATGGGAATTTGTGAGCATGCGATGCATTTTAAAGCATTGGCAATCCAATCCGGGGCACATGTGGAGGAGTGAGACCGTTTGAAAATAATTTTTTAAAAAAAGCTAAAACTATGGATGAAAAGCAGAGAGATTTTTCTGACTTCGTTTTTCCCAAAAGTACAAATAATCTAATGTTTTCCTGCTTCAAATTAGAATAAATTCCTAAACATGATCTGGCTTTCTTGAGTCATAGCCCATGGGAAACAGAAGCAAATGCATCCCAAGATATGCTTTCTTTTTGCAGAGACGTGAGATATTCAGAAACGGGTTCCCTGTGTATTTTTCACATCTACTTTGTTCAGTGCTTGCTAGTCCTTACCAAAATATTGCTAAGGATACGCTTTGTGGCCCATTTTAAGGTGAGAAGTAATTAAGAGAGATGCTGTAGAATGATCCTTTGCTTGTACTTGCCTTAGAACAAGACTTCTTTGAGGTGGAAAAAGCGTGCTTCTGACATGTTCGAAATCATATCTGGGTTAAAACGTTGTGCCTCTGGTGTCATTTCACTGCGAATGGTGGTAGAAAACAGCTGGTAACGTGCTTATCAAATTTCTACGTGTGAACAGCGCAGCGCGCATCACTGAAGCTGCGCGTCCTGCAGCTTACTGACCACATCTCGTTTTCTTCTCTACCAGGACGGTTTCACTCCTCTAGCTGTCGCGTTGCAACAAGGACACAACCAAGCGGTGGCCATCCTCCTAGAAAATGACACCAAGGGGAAAGTGCGATTACCAGCTCTGCATATCGCCGCTAGAAAAGACGACACCAAATCGGCGGCGCTCTTGCTGCAGAACGACCACAACGCCGACGTGCAGTCCAAGGTAACGCCACGCTGCCGTAGAGGTAACAGGGTAGTCGCGTGGCTGAGAGCCGATGGGCGACAAACTTTGCTTCCTTCGTCTTAACGGTTAAAGGTAATTTCTTCCATGGGGAAAGATGAGTTGCTCAACCAGTATCACCAGTAATATATCTGCTTTTGCAGTGTTTAGCTACACGGTAATGACAAGCTACTCATTTTTCTGCTTTTTAGTTATCCCTCCCGTTTCGTTGGTAACCAGCTTTCTCTCATTATTTGTAAACCAGAAGACACTGGAATGGAAGCAGAATCACTGCTTCCCTATTAAACAGGATACTGGTTTATTGCCCGTGGGAACGTAGGTTGTATTTAAAGTTAATGCATGCTTGAATGGCTTTTCCCATAATTAACAGCATAACTCATTCCAAAAAAGCAACATAGTTCTTCATTTTGCGGCCAGTCTTTAATATTGTTCCTCTTTTTCCCAAACCACGCTGCATCAGATGATGGTGAATAGGACGACTGAGGTACCGAGATCAAAAATTTTTAATTACTCTTTCTGTTACTTATAATTATTTTCTCTGCTCTGTGGCAATATTTCTTTATTATTTAGCACTAAAAGTGAAGATATGACTCTTTTTTAATACACAGAAATTTGTGACTCAGCAAACCTATTTTTGTTCATCCTTTGTCTTAGAATTTCTTTTTATTTGTGTCACTGTAAACTTTTGAGAATCCACATCAGTTCAAAGGAGTCTGAAGCGAGTAATGGAGCTAAGAGGATAAAGATGCTTTTCTAGGTCAATTTCATCAATTATGAAAATGCGCTCGCTTGGCATAACTAAATTAAGGTGTCTGGCTCAGCCAGAATAATGGTAAAATTCATTTTCCTTCTTTAACAATAGCAAATATAATCAAATCCTCCAAGGTAAAAACTTGTTCAGAGCGTCTGCTTATTATTACTGTTGTTCTTATTACGATCTTTTCAATAAAGTTTTGAGAAGTCCTTAAGGGATAGCATGCAATCAGAATTTACCTGCAGCAGATAATAATGATAATTTCTCATACGGATTCTGGAAATACCAACTCTCCAGGCCCTTCCACTAAAAGTTGTGGGTCTGATTGGCTAGAATTCTGATTTCCCCCCTAAAGATTATTGTCCCCTTTAGGAAAAAAGAATTATTTCCAAGAATGCCATCGTTATTTGAATGCAAGCTTTTAAATAATGGAGTTTTGTAGTTAGATGAGGGAATGAATTTTGAACGCGCCTGCGTGAAAGTGCTTCGCGCTTGGCGTGTGCGCGCGTGAGCAAGTTGCCACGAGGGAGCCGGCGGTGTGAATTGAAAGGGTGACGGCTTCTCTCTGGCATCTGCCCATGGGCATGGTCTTCACTTCTTCACCGGCCATCGCGTTACGTCTCCGTACCTTGCGTTTGGCACCAGGCAGACGCGTGTCCGCGAGAAGGTAGTTGCGAATATACTGTGCATTCGGTCTATAGCTTACCACAGGATCGTCTTCGCATGCCTAATATCCTCGGTAGACATTTCTGTAGTAATTCATCGCAGCAAGAAGACTATGAATTGAATGAGCCTTTGACTGTACTTTGACCAGGATTGCCTGTGGGCTGATAAGGGAGTAAATGGAATTAGGGTAAAACAGTGGGCTGCTTGCTGTAGCTTTTGGGAATAAAGTTGATTTCGGAGTGCAACATCTGCCTACTTTTCTTTATTCCATGGGTAGTTTAAAACGATGATTTGTACACCGAAAGAAATGAAACCTAGTTGAAAATACGGTATAGTCTAGAAGCCAAAAGACTTTCTCTCTCTCTAATTAACAGTAAGATCCCATCAAATCAGTGTAAAGCTCTTCAGGGAAACCTCAAAAGCAAGGTTCTTTCTACTTGATTTATTTATGAGACTAAAAGCTTGCTCTGTGTCCTAGTTTCTGAAAAATTCATCTTTTCTATGTTGTTGTCAAGCAATTCTAGATCTCATAGCATGTTTCCCCTTCTAGTGTTCAAGAGGCAATAAATAAATTGTGTTTTTTCTGATGTATAGATGACAAAGTTTCTTCTCATCTGTTGAGATCCAAATTGTTTATAAATATAAATAGTTATGATTGTTATGCCATGCTACTAAGTAGTTTCTCATGTATACCAAATTCTTGTGTTACATGTTGAATAACCACTGCTTTAAAAAAAAAAAAAGGAAAAGAAAAAAAAAAGAAGGAAATGTATCGTCAATATTCCTGATTCTAAGAGCAGTTAAGTAAGAGTCCAACAACTTTTGCGGCCATTTATCCAAAACCAGTAAACAGATGCAGCCCAAAAGACCCATGTTGCTTTCAAATTCTAAGGAAACTCCCTTTATTTTCTTGAAGAATGGCTAATATATTAATATTTTCTATGATAAAAGCTACTCTTCTTATTGGCCACTGATTCAGAAGACTGAATTGGAGAATGAGAGCTTTTGATAACCTCTCATATCAAAACTGGACTCTCTGCCTGAAAGGCTGTGCTATATTATAGGAGAACTGGGTAAACTCAGCATGATGCATTTGTTTGCCAAGTTCTAGTTAAGTTAATTATCTTGCATAAAATGATTTCTTTAATAAGGGCTATTTCCCTTTGTAGAGTGGCTTTACACCTTTGCATATAGCCGCGCACTACGGAAATGTCAACGTGGCAACGCTTCTGCTAAACCGAGGAGCTGCAGTCGATTTCACAGCAAGGGTATGGAGTAATTTCTCTTTCTTCTTAGTTGTGATGGCCTACAAAAGTGGGAGTGTTTGTGTAATTCCTAGTCGAGAGTAATTGGGGAGCAAAGTAATGCTGAAATTCTGTTGCGTTCGAAGATGTCTTTTTTGGGGTTTTGGCAGTAATTTTTATAAGGTTGCCTCCGGGCAATGCGCCAGAGTCCTTTGGAGTTGAGTAGCGACCAGTATTCCCAGTTGAAGGAAGTAGGCTCCTTTGACTAGCTCCCGAGAGCTGATATTCTCATAACGTGTCAACTCACTTCAGCTTTTCCGTCAGTTAGGCATATTCCAGAAATATATACAGGATTTATTGGATTTTTCAGTACTCAGTATTCACTATACTACTTCACTTTGATATTTTCGCATATAAACATATTGTGAAAAAGCGAAGTAAGGTACATTGCCATTATAGAAATGCAACAATAAAAGTACTAATTAATCACGGCTACTCTTTTATGGTAAACAACTGCAGAGCTGCATAATATAGCCTCTTTGCTGTTGTACGTTACGTAGTTTGAAGCAGGGCGCCTGGTGCTGCGAAAACCTCTGGTAATCCGTTCCTCAGCGCAGCAACCGGATCACAACTTTTCTGTTTAATTTTGCCGGACAGGCTTTGCATTACTGTAGGGTTCTGCCTTTCCGAGTGGCTTCCTGCTGCTGCCGGTCTGGAATAGCAGCTCAGCTTTATCTCTTCCCCTCGCCCGAAGCGTTTGCGAGGACTTTCAGCCTAAGCAGGACCCACTCCTTTACGCTCTTGGCATTACGCTAAGAAGGTTCCTTCGCGTAGGAGTCACGCGTTTGTGTGCTCTGTGTGCGTGGCAGTGATTTAAACGCGTCAGTGTGTCATGAATATCGACTCGTCGGGACTCTGATATATGTCTGTTTATTTGTCTGACTCTGGAACCGTGATGTTTGCTGCTTTGGCAGATGCGCTGCTTCCTTTATTAAAAAAACCCAACAAAACCCCAAAGAATGAACAAAGATTCTTGCTTAGAAAGGAATTACTAACTCTAGCTTCTATGGTGTGTGCCTAGCTCTGATGCTCGAGTACCTTTTTTGTTTATCCTCTATGATGTGACGGTCTCAGTTTTGTGATCCGAACGCAAATTCACCACCATTGCACACCTTCAAATCCACCATGCTCATTGTTTGTTCTTTTCATGGTGTAGAATGGAATCACCCCACTGCATGTGGCTTCCAAAAGGGGAAACACAAACATGGTGAAGCTCTTGTTGGATCGCGGAGGGCAGATCGATGCCAAAACCAGGGTGAGTCTTTCTATTCCCTGAATATGATTGTTGTCCCTTCTTGGGGATGGATTGGGATTTTTTGCTTGCTTGTTTTTAGTTTGGGGTTTTTTGGTTTTGTTTTAAGCCAGAGACTGAGAACACCAAGATTCATAGGCTAGGAATTCAACTTCAGTAATTGTGTCTTTTTCCTCTGTTCTTAAAGCGAGACATTAGATGCGGCTGTTATAAATGACTCAAAAACCAACCAACCGACCAAAAAAACCCCATTCAGCTGACCACAGCTCCAAAAATGTTAAACACATAACAAGTGTTCTCTTTTTGAAACGTGGACCAAATTTAAATGGTGACTCCAAAAATAATTTATAAAGAAATGTTTTTGTACCTTCCCCCCCCAGCCCCAAATTCAAAATCCTACCTTTAGTTTTCAGATTGTTTCTTGTTTTATGTAGACTGTTTCCTATGGTATCAGACTAACGAAGGGCAGGTACTGGTGACAGTAGGAGGCAGAAATACTATTTCCTTTAGTCTCCTGTATAATTGTACAAGAAAAAGCTGATGAAGCTGATCTTTTTGAGGAAATAAGCCTGTTAGTTGACACAAGAACACGCGTGCTGCACAGCAATGGGAAGTGGAGGGTCTGGACTCAGCTAAGCCTTTCAGTGCCCTGACTCCTGAATGTCTGTGCCTGTCGTAGTGTGCCTCGTGAAAACTGCCTGCAGTGGGCTGGCAGTCACTTTTTATTGTCACTGGTTTTGTCGCTTTTATCAGTTCTTGGGAACAAGCAACCTGTTCTGTGCCAGCAGCCACCCACCTCTTCCCAGACGAACGAGCGTTAGGTGACTCTGGCTTCCTCCTCCCAGTTGTCCCGTTGAAATGCCGCACCAATACCGTGCTCTTTATTTAGGGGCGATTTCGTAGTCATTCAGGACAGAAGAAAAACCCATGAATTTGTATGGGCAGGGCTCATTAATTCGAACGGGATTTTGGAATCACCTAGGAAAATGTGGTCATTGATGCGAACTGGTCATTGATCTTGAAAGCTGCTGGTTTTTAAGCACTGATCTGCAAAATTATATCGGCAAGTAACAGAGGGTGTTTTAGAACACAGAGTTTAGAGCTGACATAGGAGATTTTGTTTAATAAGGTAGGAAGGTAGAGGATATTGCAGTCAACCACCTTTGTGGTTGCTTCAACCTCTGCAGTTACTTTGATATTAATCACATCAACCACGTGTTGCTTCATCAGCTGGGAAGACAATCGTGATTATCATGTAACTCTATAGGTGATTATGATTTTGATTTCTGATTATTTATGAAGTGATGTCTTTCTTGCCTTTTTTTTTTTTAAAAAAAAAAACAAAAAAACAAACCAACCCAAACTACTGATGATGGAAAATGCTGCCACTCATGAAGGTGTGCAGTAAATCATCTCTGGTCAAATTTGCCACAATAAATGCCTTCAATCTTCACGGTAAAGTGGCATAAAATGATAATAGTATGCTGCAGTCTGGATATTCCACATATTCATAAGCGCAGTAGTCGTACAGAAATGGTCCGTTTGGCCAGTGGAGTGACAGTATCGAGTTCACCTGTTTCCCGTTCAGTATTTAGATACTTGTTTTAGACAGGTTGGCACAGATGATTGTAAAGGACATCTTGGATTTTAAGAGGTCAGGGTGTATTCCCTTCCCCGCTCACCCACAAAGATTGATGTGCAGTTGTGAATGAAGCCGAAAGAACAGGACTTTGCCCAACGTAGGTGGAAGATGCTAATTTTAGAGCCTTCTCATTGTCTTGGCTTCCTGCCCTTTGTCAGCTGCTACATTAGCTCAAAACCCATCAGCACAAAGATATCGGTGAAAAACCCGTGAAGGTATCCTAAAGCACATGTTGCCCCAATTTGCACGGGCTCAGCAACTTCCTCTTGCTTTCATCTTCTGCCTTCTCCCCGCTCGACGGCGCACGGTGGTGGTCGGCTGTCTGTACTTCACAGTTGGGAAGATTCCAGAGCTTTGGTGGTTTTGCTGTCAGTGTCTCCGTGGTGTGATCTTTGTCTTCGTGCCAGCTGTTTATGTCGTCTCGGTGTCTTTTTTTTTTTTTCTTTTCCCTTTGCTTTGTCCGCATGCCTTGCGCGCTTTGCTATGGCCGTGAGTATGTAGGGTATTGAAGAGGTAGGTTGCGTGTTGCATGCCGTGTGTACGTGTGTCGTGTACTTTAAAGGACAGAGTTCTGCCTCCTCCACCTCGGTACTAACATGCTTGCCTTTCCATATTCGCCTTTTCATTTCTCCTGAGGAACACCTGCACTCTTCCAGTAGATCGGATTCACTGAAAAACAGTGGCATTAAATATTTTGTTGCCGGATAGCTTTTTTTCTTGGTCTCCATACCGCATCAAAATAAGCTCGTTAGTTAAAAAAAGTCCTCATTGCTTTCCTTCAGTTTATTTTTAACTTGCTCTATTACTTGACATCTGATGATGCATAAATTAAGATGCAAAACCTTATTTCAACGGATTTTAAATGAGCCTCAGTACTTTAATTTTGCAGAGTTCATCTGTGAAATCTTTTTATGTTTGAAAATGTTCCATTGGAATGGTCCATTAGGAGCCCCTGTATTGTCTAAAAAAAAAAAAAAAATAAAAATTAGAATGTTTGTTCTTCAAAGGGAGTAAATTATGAATGTGTCCTACTGTTCTGTAGTTAAGGCTGCATGTCAGAGGAATTATGTATTTTTATTTTCTATACAGTTCATAATGTGTTTGCTGAAATTTTATGGCATTTCCCACTAGAGTATAAAGATGTAGAATTGTAAGTAAATCTTCTGCTACACTTATATAAGTTAAAAAAATATTTTACTTAAATGTTTTTGGCAAGTTTTGCCATTTTGCTCAGCTAGCTACTAAGTAAGATTTTAAAATGTGGAATTTCATTTCTCTTTTATATTGTATCTAGAGCAAAAAGGTAAACTCCATTCCCATTGGTACTAATAGGATACTTTTTTTAGTGCTGTCTGTTATATCTACGTTTGTACTATTTGGATTTACATACAAGCCTCATCTGGAGTTTTGCTTGCTAAAGAATTGGCAGGTAAAAATTCTTATGCTAAAACATTTCCTATTTAAAATCTTAATTAAACCTATATTCTTTATGAGTTTACCTGAATAAGGACTTGAATGACATATATTTGTTTAAAATTTTAAACTTCTGACCTGTCCAACTTATTATGGTAGACTGATGGAGTTGGGTTTCAGAAGCAATTGTGCAGACTGTGGCTGGGAATCAGTGTGCGGAAAAATCCTCTAAAAGATGGTGGAAAGTTGAATTTATGATTAAATCGATGTCATGTGGTCAAGAGTAATGGGGCAATGATTAATTTGCACTTTGAGAGAAGAAAAGTATTTACAGCCTTCCAGAAACGTAGTGAGGGTTATTACAGGGGGAATTATTTTAAGCATTTAAAAGCAGAGCGATTTCAGCATGGCCAATATAGATGTTTCTATTAAAAAATATATATTCTGATATAATGGAATAGCAACAGTGAGGGTATTTGGGATATTGAAATGCGTTTAGCTGTATTCTTTCTGAATGCAGTTTTTGTAATATCTATATTTTTATCATCTCTCTATATAGATTGTATGGGGATAAAAAAGAACAGGCATGTGAAACTTTTTCAGTTTTTGTTTGATTTTTTTTATTTTTAAAACACAGTGTTATTCACAGGCCTTTGTCACCTTACTGGTATTTCAATTTTTGTGGGACTATGCAAACACCCTTAGAAGGGAAGAAGGAACACTTTCACCTGTCTCAGCCGCAGAAGTTCTCGCACATTTTGTGTTCTTTCTATTGAATCCTGCCAACACTGAAATGAAATTTTTATTTTTCTTCCTCTGGGATTTTTCCTTAGACTCCTCTTGTAGGCTTTTGTTCAGAATATTTACAGTTGAGAAAAAAAAAATAATTAAAAAGTCCCTGGAATGAAATAGGGCATCTAATCTTGGAATGGTAAGCTTATTGTGTGGGAAAGTAAACACATTGCGTGCCCGGAGCGTGGCAGCTGGAGACGGGAGTAGACGTGATAACGGTGGGGAGAAAGTCTGGTGTGCCATTTGGGTTGGAGAAGGGCCACGGAAAAGAGAGGAGGCTCAGCTGGAGCTGAGAGAAGTGGAAGGTCGGTCAGAGAGACGTATGATACCACTGGGAGAAGAAAAGGAAGGAAGTTCTATTTTTCCTTAGACTCCTCTTGTAGGCTTTTGTCCAGAATATTTACAGTTGGGAAAAAAAAATTACTTAAAAAATCCCTGGAATGAAATAGGACATCTAATCTTGGAATGGCAAGCTTATTGTGTGGGAAAGTAAACACGTTGCGTGCCCGGAGCGTGGCAGCTGGAGAGGGGAGTAGACGTGATAACGGTGGGGACAAAGTCTGGTGTTGGGTTGGAGAAGGGCCACGGAAAAGAGAGGAGGCTCAGCTGGAGCTGAGAGAAGTGGAAGGTCGGTCAGAGAGACGTATGATACCACTGGGAGAAGAAAAGGAAGGAAGTTCTAGGGGGTGGAACTCAGATTTTATTGGTTGGGTGGTTTTGTGGTGAATGTGCTTCAGACACCCCTTAACACTGATTCTGGGAACCTACTGAGCTTTATTTGTAGTAATGTCCTTTTGTATAGATGCATCATGACAAAACAGGCACAGCTCTCTGCTGTTTCCGCGCGGTGCTGGGTTTCCTACCGTAAAGCCGTTGTAGCAGGATCCGAACCCTGTCTTGGCCCTACGCTGTGTTTCAGTGGGTTTTTCCTGCTGTGAGGTTTTCTCCCAGTCTTTGCACGTGCACAGAGCACTAATAATTCATTGGCAGTTTTTGCCATGCCTAAAGCAATGTCAGATTATAAATATCTCATCTCAATGCAGATTTTTGCTGTAAAAAATTTAGTGGATTCATATAATGCTTACAAGGGACTGGGAAGGAATGTTGTACAGGTTATTTCAGCAAGCTATATAGACAGTGTCTATTATTTAGAATTATTTCAGTTAATATTACTCAAGCAAATGCATGCTATATTTTTTGTTATATTTTTTAAATTTGTACTTTGAACGGCAGACCGGGAGGAATACTTCAGAGCGTGTTTAATTATGCCAAGACTCTGAGAGCTTAGAGACTTGCCTTGTTCATTTTTAGAGACGAGGTTTAGGAGTAATGAAAAACGAACAAATGCAAAGGCCTCTCTTTGTCGAGAAAATTTAGACAGTTTCGTGCGTCTGATATACAGAATACTAAAATTTTATTTCACCCTTATAAAAAAAGAGAACATGCAGCTGTGGTTAAGAAGAATTCTTCGATAATTCGACCTTTGATGTTCCTGTGCTATCATCAGTCTTTGTTCCATTGAGCACTGAATGTGCGCAACTCCCCTTCGTTAAGATGCTGCCCGTATCATTTCCCATTAAGAATCTCTCGTAAGCGCAGCTTCTTTTTATCTCAGTCTCTCTGGTAAGCTGAAGTAAAGCATTTTAATCATTGTGAAATGACCCAAGAATTTTATTTTCCTGAGCCTGGCAGTTTGGAGTCACACACAGAATTCAGAATTGATTTTGCAGGTTAAAAAATGACTAGTGATTGATTTTCAAGAAAAAAAGGCAAACATTTACCTTCTATTTTGAGAGCCATTTAAGAGGAAATTAGGAGGGGTGGGATTTCATGGCTTCCATACGTACGGAGAGGATCGTAGCGTCATTTCTAAGTGACCCACCTGTGGGTTACGTTGCAAATTGTGAGCTAGGAGAGTGCCACATATGGGAACAGCAGAACACTGGGTGCAGGATGTCACTTGGAAGATGAAAACATTGAACTCTCCATTATGTATTATTTGGGATGAGGAGATAAATATTGGACTTCTTAAAATACAAAACTGCTGAATTTCTTGTCTCCTGGCATGGCAGCTTTTGTGTTTATGGGATATCCATTGTCTGTGCTCCAAAGTCCGTGTCTCTTCGACCCAGTGTTTGTGCGTCTTGTGTCCTGTCAAATGACGTGGTCAGTATTTTGGTCAGCGTGTGTTCTTCAGTTTACATGGTGTACCAATTAGCAGTGGAATGCTTAAAAAAGTACGGAGGCAATCTCCTGCCATAGATTTCAGAGACTCATTGCAAAGAGATAATAGTGCAAAAGAGGACTAATTTGGTACACCAGTGTGTCTCTTGATGTTGGCTACTGTCAGTTGTCCTCATTGTATTATGTACTAATTCTTCTACTACATCCCTCTCTTTGCAATTTTCCTCATCTTTGAAGAAAACATATAAGCAAAAATTGAATCTAAAGTATTAAATATACAGTAATTTTAAGAGATACACGCTGTTTTCCCCAGGGCAGAAAGAGGGAGGAGAAGAGGGTTACATGGGAAGGCTGCAAAGCGTGTTGCTTCATTCACCTACTGGAAAGTGTACAGATAGTAAACGATGATGTATTTATAAAAGCTAGGATAGGTAGCAAATTTTTATCTTTACTTTCAGAGGAATTATAGATAAGAACAGAGGAGGAAACATGCTTTTTAACAATTTAGTTCTTATTTTTCTTTTAGCTAGACTTTCTTGTGGAGTTGATGTGTTTCTTAGCTTGCATTTTGCTGCTTTTTTCTGGGGATTTGTCCTGGGTTTTTTGGTTGGTTGGTTGGGGTTTTTTTTTCCCCCAAGGGTACACACAATTCTACCTTTCTTTTGCTGTTTTATCAAATAGAATAACGTCGAAGTCACTATGCAGATAGGGAAAGTGAACCTCCCACATTGATTAAAAATGTAGAGCACAAAAAGCCAGAAACTGGAAAGAAACACCAAATAAATACCTTTCCTAGAAATAGGTTTGGGATATATTCTCACTTTAGTAATGCTAATGGGAATTATGTGTATGAGTCCCTCTGGCAGCGAGGTGAACATATACCTCAGTTGTGCATATAAAGACTTGATTTAGGGGGCTCTGAGGTTTCAGCACAGAAAAAATCAAATGGATAAGCTAGTTACACCCAATTCCTTTACATTGACTCAATCTACCAGATGCCGAGCAGCCTTGAATTCTGTTTGCGGGTTTGATCTTGCATCTGTTGAATTTCTTTGCAAAGCTTCCATGGGATTTAGTGATGCCTCTGCCTCTGAGATAGCGAGTGTCGAGGCACGCCTAACCCCTTCACATGTTTTGGAAAAAAATCTCTGGAAACGGTAGATAAGCGAGGGAGAAGAATTCCGGTGGAGCTTTGTTGCACTGCTGAGAACTGAGGGTGAGGGAGGATCTGCTGCTTAGAATTACCTTTTGTAGAGTATTAAAGGGCTACGTTTGCATAGCCAAAATGATGTTGCAATTGCAATGGCACTGCGCAGTCTAGAGCTACTTTTAATTTTAAAAGGTTAGTAATAGAACTAAAAATATAGCTATGTAGACTTCCTCCAAACTCCGCCAAGGCAAACTATATCTGTGTATGAAGCAGGGTCACTAACTCATACTTAAGGCCGTGGTTTTGCATTTTTGCTACTTTTTTTAACTTCTAAGTAATAAATCAATCTCAGACCAGTATAGTCATCTTTTAATCATGCTGTTACTGGATTCTTCAGAAAGCACCCTAGAATAGTAGCATCTGCCTCAACTAAGATGAGCAGTGCGTCTCAAAGGGAGGAGGCTTTTCTCGTGCTTAAAAACTGTTACCATTTCACCTTTATAAGCCTATCTCTGTTGAATGAGTATTGATGGCTTCTCTGAGTGCCTGCTTGAACAATATCAAGGTCTAAGGAGATGAAAACTTGGGTTTCTGTTTTTTACACATTTTCTTTTTTTGGTCATTCAGCGCCAATATTCTTTTGCAACCATTTTTCTTGCCTCATAGTTCCTGTATTCTTCTACATAAAGTCCAAACGGTAGCAGAATTACCTAGAACACGTTCTGCTATCTAAATGTTTCCTTGGACATCTTTTGCCACCGCTGCTGTGATCGTCACTGAGTAGCCTGAGTGAGTCTTGACATAGGGTGGTGTTCTGCAACGGAAAAAAATACTGCAGAGTTGGTGGTCTCACAGCAATTTTAGCAAAGGGTTGTTAGCTCTTTGTTCACCACTCAAGCTCAGGAATGAAAGGGTTTGTTCTGTTTATTTCTCTGTTTTAAAATCTTCTTTCTCCTGCTGCCTCTTTAAAAAACCCAAATAAATTCTAGAGTAAATTTGCTAGTATGAACATTTCTTGTTTCACCCCTGCATCTAAAGCAATCCAAAGGACAGGGGTTGATTTACGGAGCATCCTTGGCCCAGCACACATTACCCAGGGAGAGGCACTACAATCTCAAAGGCGTGCAGAGGAGGAGGGGAGGAGGTAATGCATGCTCACATTATCCTCTTTGATAAGAGATTTCAACACACAGTGGACTTCCTCTCTGAAACGGTAACCTTAGAGCGTCCTTTACTGGTGCAAGGAAGAATAGGGATGAAATGTCATGTTGTAGAGCCAGCTTCAGGTAGGAGTCAAAAAACTTCATGTTGTGGAGCCACCTTCAGGTAGGAGTCAAAAAAAGAAAAAAAAGAAAAAAAGAAAAAAGAGCTTTTTCACATGTTTGTGAGGCTGCATTCCCAGAAGGGTGTTCCTCATAGTGCCGGTTGGGGATGTGCTCATTTTGTTTTTCCTCCTTTTACTCGAAGGATGGACTCACCCCACTCCACTGTGCTGCACGAAGTGGACATGACCAAGTTGTGGAGCTGCTCCTGGAACGAGGTGCCCCGCTGCTTGCACGGACCAAGGTGTGCGTCTGATTAGGATATGGTAACAGCTCTGTGTAACTTTCCACGGAATTTTCAGTGTCACTGAAAGGACAAGGAAGAAGACGGGAACATTTCTGTTCTCCCAAAGGAAATGTATTAATGGGTAGAACGATCCAGAATAAGGTTTTCTTGCATAATTAGGGCCTATCCTTTGCAGATATACAAAACAATATACACGTCTTTGCCACTCTCTGCAATATCAGACTAAACACGTCATGTTCAGACTTGGAAAATAATTTTGGTGTGTTCTTACTGATTTCTGAAAAGCGCATGTCTAAGACGAATGCATGTCATACAAATGCTGTCCCTTTGGTCGGGCTAATGAGAGAAAGACACTTGCAGTAGAATAGCAAACTCCACTGAGCAGCACTTCGCATCACTAAATTTCAGAGGGCCTGGCAAAGGTAGCTGCTATCAAGCAGTGGAGTAGAGTATTGCAATGATTTGCTTGAGGTCCCCTGGAAGATCAGGAGGGACAAAATACCGGTTTCAGACCGGTTCACTGTTTACTGGGCCCCACTGCCTCAAATATGGCTCAAAACAAGGGCAAATTGGGTACTCTGACCCCTGGTTATCCTTATTGGAGACTCAGGATTTTCTCTTGATAGGCTTCAGGAGTTTTTATCCCTGGGTTGGAAGCACCTTAGCTACATCAAATAAGGATGTACTCAAGCTATGCATCCTTGATAGTAGTGCAGGTCATCTGTTTATGCGAGAGGGATCCAGAGGGAGATGGGAATTGTGGGGAAAAGATTCCTTATAGTTTCACTGATTCCTTTGGTGAGAGAAGGTGGTTAGGTGAACCTCATGTGTCAACAGTCTCACTTCACTAAGAGGTAGAGAGGCTCAGAAGAATGGACCCTGCCACGTACATTGTGCACACTTCAGGTAAGATTCCCAGATGTTGCCGTTCAAAGGCAGATGTTGCCAGTCAGGACAAACTACTTCAGTATTTCCAAAAAGCTCCTGCTTCCACTGCCCTTCAAGTGTTATGGTTTGAACAAAAGGCCCAGCCGTGGTGGTGGTGGTGGTTGAAAGTATCATTTCCCAGAAGCTCAGGGGTCAGGTTTGCCAATATAATTTCTTTTTTCATTGAACGCTTAAAGAAAAAAATACAGGTCCCTTAATAAATACGATAATGGGTAAGTAGGGGCTTTTCCTCTGATTAACATACAACCCGTGTCTCAGTGTTTTGGTGAGTATCCCCAGAACTGTCTTTTAAGGTCAAGATATATTTTCTTAAATCATGAGTCAAGACCCTTAGATTCTTTTGCTTTGATTAAATTCTGATTTTAGTTAATTACATGACGTTCCTCTAAATTTGCCTGCATTTGCTGGAAGGGGAGGGGTGGCTATAGCTTTTTTTCAGTTTTTCTTCCAGTCCGTAGCTGAGGTCCGTCTCTGTTTCAGCGATGGGGGTGCTCTGCAAACTCGTGACGGCATCCTCTGAATGCATGCCACGGTCTAAGCGAGAGTTACTAGAAGTTAGCGTTCTGTTTTCTTTTGTCGCAGAATGGACTCTCTCCGCTTCACATGGCGGCCCAGGGGGACCACGTGGATTGCGTCAAACACCTCCTGCAGCACAAAGCTCCCGTGGATGATGTCACGCTGGATTACCTGACCGCCCTCCACGTGGCCGCGCACTGCGGCCACTATCGTGTCACCAAACTCCTCCTGGACAAGAGAGCAAATCCCAATGCTCGTGCCCTGGTAAACCTGTCCCACCTGTGTCGTGTAACAAAGTTGTCTAGGGCAGATGAGTAGCTCTTACCCTTAAAGCTAAGTGAAAACTCCGTCACCAAGCTCCAGCAGCCTTAAATAGTTGCAGTAACAACAGGGGTTGTCACATCTGCTGGTTACCAGTGTTGTATCTCATATCATTAGACCTAGTCGTGGACCACGTCCCATGGCAAGTGGCTGTGGTATCAGGTCTGGAAGCTGCACAGATTTCCTAAAATCAGAGCCATTTCTAGCTGATGCTAACGTATGCGCTGGTGTTTTACTGAATTAATAGTTCGGTTTTCCATGCTATGTGATATGATCCACAAATAATTTCTAAGCTTTCAGCTGAATCAGTAAGCTGATTGGCACGGAGAAGATACGTTAAACAGGTAATATTGCTGCATTTATCAAATTATGACGTTCCCCCTGTTAGGTGCCACTTTTCTTCCTTTTCAAAAAACAGTTCTTCTGATGCTTACAGGAAAACAGGTACGATTCCCTTCACTCGCTGATCAGACCATTATCCCCTAACTGAGAGAAAACCATCACATTTGGCTTCAGGAACATATAAAGCTTTCAAGAGTCTTTATCCAAACCCAGACCAGATTCCCATTTTCTCGAATAGGAAGTGTCCCCAAGAACGGTGAGCTGGATGGCAGTTAAAACACCAATATGTTACGTTCAGTGGGGGGAAAGAAAGAGCCCGTGAACCCTTGAGATAATTCTGCGTGGCAAGATGTCTGCCATTGCCCGCTGCATTCAATGACTCCACGGAGCTTTCACCGCCGACCACTCTGATGTCTTCCCCAGCTTCTGGCCTTCAACGTGACCCTGTATTTTTCTGTGAAGGCTTCCCCTATCCCTTATTTCCCTTACTTCCTTGGAACTGACTTTTTATTGACGCAATTTTCTTCTGCCCTCCCATTTTTCATCTGTCCCTGCAAATCCCATAACCCCTCTTGCTTCCTCCTCTTATGCTTTTTTTGTTGTGTTTCTTGGTATCATGTTCACTTGGGTTGATCTTTTTCCATGCTGTTTTCATCCTTTCTTGTTTTTCTTGCCAGTCTTCTGATTATCTTTAGCTGTACTTTCCTCAGCTACCCACACATACACGTTAAATGCTAGCCCCCACATCTTTCTTTGTTTCTTTCTTTCCTTCCATGACCAGAAATAAACCTTCTGTTCCTCCCCATCCCTCCCTCCCAGAGAAACATCTGAAATGAAAGGAAAATACCCTCAGGCTGCCATTTCTCTGCTCTCTTCCCTCCAGACTGGGGTTTTTCCCCCCCCCCCCCTCTTGTTTCCTCTCCCATCAGGGACTTGTCGCCTCTGGCTTGTTTATAGTATTTAATGTATTAAATGATGCTCATAATTTCTGTTAGTGATACAGTTTTTCTGCCTCCTCCTCTCCCCCATCAAACTGCTCCTCACTTAAATAGAAGTAGCAAAATTAAATCAACTCGGGCAGTAAAATTAAGTGAAAATGTGGAAATTTCTGAAACAGTAAAAGTCCTATGAAATATATTGAGATGCTGTGCAGGAGGTAAAATATCTAATGGTTTTGATGCCTTCTTTAGAAATTGGAGAAGGCTAATAGTAGTAATGATATTCAGCAGGGTCCTGTGATGGAATAAATTTTACAAATAATTCATTTTCAGCTAGATGAAAAAAATAAATTGTTAATGGTTGAAAAATGATTTGGGGATACAAGCACTATATGAGTTCTTAGCTTTTCCAATCTGTATATGCTTTAAAGCACCTTCAAATCAACTAGTAATTAACATTTCCCTTAACAGAAGCTGCCTGTAGAATTATCTGTCACATGCCTCTTCCCATGAGCTACGATTTCACTGATAAGTTCTGTTTACTGCTGATTGATTGTTTAGCAATACCCATCCTGTTCATTCGAAAAGATAGCAATTTTTCAACATTATCTGAAAAGGTTAGTTGTGCTTTTCACTAAAATGTTCACGTGTGGCGAGTAATGTGTTTGCTTAGCTTTAGGCACACACTTAACCTGCATTAACCATAATAGTACATAAAAAAAGCTGAAAGTCAAAGCATGTATCGCAGTATCGAGTACGAAGACATGCTTTGATTTGGGCCCTCATCTTAACTGAGTAAGCGCAACACTGAAACTATTGTCTCTCAATACAAAATGCCAAGGTGCAATCTTGATTTAAGATGTTCCCTTCCCCACCCCTCTTTCATTCCTGTCCCTGCCCCATTTAATTTTAATCCAGATGAGGGCTGATCCCTTGCTTAACGATGCTTTTTGATTCGGCAGGAATAAAGGAAGGGGGGGCCACAAATGCTTCAAGAGTGAACACTTTGTATCGTGAAGCCGCGGCTGAAGTAGTGGCTGTTTGTTTAAGAGGCCTCACAGAATGCCG